AATCTGTGTGTGTGTGTGTGTGTGTGTGTGTATGTGTATATGTGTGTGTGTGTAAAATTGATTGACTTTCACCCAATGTTAGGCATTGTGCTAAAAGATAGAATAAAGACACTTGTCCCTGATCTTGAGGACACAGACTGCCAGCCCAGACTATGACAGAGCAGAATAAGAAAGAGGCTGAAGACATTGCTGTGTGGTTATAGGACCCAGGAAATCACTGTGACTGAAAAATCTGGGAATGGGTTGTGAAGCTTAATCCTTACAGATGAGTTAGACTTTCAATAGGGAAAAATAAAAGAGATAAAGGTATTCCAAAGGTAGAGAAGCAATGGCGAGAAGGGGGTTGGGGGGGGTGCTCCATGATATCAGGAGACTTCCTAAATGGAGGTAGAAGCTGGAGACCCAGAGGGTGGGTCTGAGAAAGGTTGCACTTTATCCTGAGAAGCCCCAGAGGATGAGGGGACCACCACTGAGTAGAACCAGGAGACTGAGAGTAGCTTAAATGTCCTCAGGCACAGGGATGGGAGAATAAAGAGTGAGTACCACAAGCAGAGAACTATTGTCCTGTCTAGGGGCTCTAGGCTGCCCTCCTTGGGCCAGGCTCTGCAACCTCACATTTGTAAACATGTTGTCTGCCAGATTCCCAGAGATACGCTCAATACTGAATCTCCTAACATTATTGAATGAATAGGAGAGTCATGAATACGACATCCTCTCTAGTGACACAGCCCCGAGAGCGAATCCTATCCAGGGTTCTTCTCCACCCACTGACACCCATCGTAAGGCAAAGAAAAGGTTCCCTCTGCATCTCTCAACCAACAGATTTTCCTCCCTCTGCATTGTACCATGTTGCTGGGGAAAGACTGGTTCTGTTCCTGGACAGTTTAATGTCACCCATCTGGCATGGCTTCCTCCTCAACTCCAACAATGAAGGTCATTTGTTCCAATGCCTTAGGGACAGTGTGGCACTGTGGGCTTGGACTTCTGTCTGCTGAGGATTCCTATAAAACTGGAAATCTGATCCAGTCACCCCTCTGAAACATTATTTGCCACACTGTCTGTCTGCTGCCATTGAGGACTTGGTATGTGTTAAGTTTCTTGTGGTCAGGGACCTTTAAGAGAGAACACTCCAGCTAGATTAGCAGTCAAAGCTGAACAGGAATCCTGATTCTGCCAGTCACAAGCTATGTGAACTTAATAAAGATTGCTTAAGCATTTGAAGTTTGGCTTTTCTCTTTCATAAAATAGAAGCACTAAAGTCTGCTTCAGAAGACTTAAGTAACAACACCTGCTTCAAATAGCTTTGTAATTGGACAACAAAAGCTATGTAAAATGTTACACAATAATGGATGTGTGTCCCCTCTAGGTGTCGTAAAGTGTGCCAGGCACACAGTAACTAGGCATTTTAATCTCATCAGTTAGCAGATTTATTTATTTATACATGAGACTGAGAGATCCTGTGTCCTACAGCCCCAAAAATGTTTTCTCTACCTTCTTTAATACAGGCGGAAAAAAGTATTTTTGCATTACAAGCTTGCTGATCTTCAACCAGAATTATACATTATTTTCCCTTTGGTATTATTATAGTGACCTCCAAAGGTAGTGTTTTTTCCTTGCCAGTTGCTGGCCAAGATCCCTATATGTAGCTAGAAGCTTCTACAGAAACATGAGCCAGGCTTCAGAAGGAGCATAATAGATTTGATTATGAATATGGAACCAATTTCCACAATTGGCATTCAGTATATTTCCTTGTTTACAAAAGCCACAGCCCAAACTATGTACAAAATTTTTGCAGTGGCTGAAAATCCTTTCCTGTGGCTGAGCTGACACCTCTAAGACAAGGGCTCTGATTTTATTGCTTTTTGAAATATTTTATTTTATTGTAAAGATGATGTATAGAGGGGTTACAGTTACTAGAGTAAGGTAATGAGTACATCTCTTGTTGAACATTGTTACCCCCTCCTTTGTTTGCTTTTTTATTTGCTCAGTATGTCAAGATTTTTCATTGCTTTGTAAGTGATTCCCCTTCTGCTCTGAATGATTTCTTATCTGGGTACATCATTCATTGATTGTTTTCTTTCTTCCCTTTCTTTTTTCTTCCTTCCTTCCTTCCTTCCTTCCCCTCTTTTCTCTCTCTTTCTCTTTCTTCTTCTTTATCTCTTCTCTGTCTGTCTCTGTTTCTCTCCCTCAATCCCCCCCCCTCTCTGTCTCTCTGTGTCTGTCTGTCTGTTGGTCTGTCTGTCCATCTGTCTGTCTGTCTGTCTCTCTCTCTCTCTTTCTCTCTCTCTCCTGGGAATGGAACTCAGGACCTGGTGCTCGACCACTTCAGTCATGTTGCCAGACCTTTTGCTTTTTAGTTATTTTTCAGATAGGCGCCTTGTGCTTTTTCTGACCATATGCTTTTGTCCTTCTTCTAAGTTTTGGAGCACAATCCTCCTGCCCATTACCTCTGTCTCTCAGGTAGCTAGGAGTATAAGGTCACCACATTAGGCCGTCCACTCATTTTTGTAAATGCTGGCTGCAAAGCAT